CCTCAGCCTCCCAAAGGCGCGGGATTACAGGCTGAGCCACCGAGCCCGGCTGAAATTTCTACAGATTTAAAGTTTACCCTTTTAAAATTATTTTTTTGAGTCAAGGTCTCACTCTGTTGCCCAGGCTAGAGTGCAGGAGCATGATCACGGCTCACCACAATCTCCACCTCCTGGGCTCAAGTGATCCTCCTGCCTCAGACTCCCAAGTAGCTGAGACTAAAGGCGCACACCACCATGTCTGGCTATTTGTTTGTTTGTTTATTTATTATGTATTTATGTTTTGAGTCAGAGTGTCACTCTGTCATCTAGGCTGGAGTACAGTGGCACAATCACAGCTCACCACAGCCTTGACCTCCTGGGCTCAGATTATCTTTCCACCTTAGACTCCCGAACAGCTGGGACTACAGTCACACACCATCTCTCCTGGCTAATTATTATTTATTTTTTGTATGTGGAAACGAGATCTCACTATGCTTCCCAGGCTAGTCTCGAGCTCCTGGGCTCAAGTGATCCTCCCGCCACTGCCTTCCTCCCAAAGTACTGGGATTATAGTATGAGCCGGCGTACCCCACCTGAAGTTTACCCTTTAATGCCAACAAATGTATACATATTAGATTTTAAATGTCCTTTAGGACATGGCATAGTTCTCTATGCTCTTTATCAAACAGTGTGGAATATAAATGGGCTTTTCTTGATAGTTTATTTGGAAGTAATTAGAATGGAAATATAGGTGAACAAAGCAAAAGAGTTTAGAGTTGAGTTTTGAAGTCTGACCGAGTTTGTCCTGAGCTTGCTTCTGTGGATTACTACACGTGTGGCCTTTGGCAAGTTACTTTATCTGTGTTTTGGTTTTCTCAGCTGAAAATTGGGAATAATATTTGCACCTGTTCCATAGGATTGTGCCCACTAGACCATAATAAGAACTCAATAAATAATAAATGGTAGGAGTTTTATTGTTGCTAATCACCTCCAGAGTGATCGTCGTTACATAGCTCCAGCCTGTTGCACTGCCTTCTAGATGGTCTGGGCAGACTGTACTGTCTGCTATCCTTTCCTGTGCTGTCCGTTTCTCTGACTTACATGCTTGACACACAGTTGAATGAACAGGTGAGAGCACTTTCTCATAAGGAGCAAAGCGCATGTGCTTTTTGATGGCTGTTGACTCATTTATATCTAGGCCCTAGACTGTGGGTTGTTTGGTTTTTGGGGGTTTTTTTGAGTTGGAGTCTCACTCCATCTTCCAGGTTGGAGTGCAGTGGCATGCTGTCAGCTACCACAGCCTTGGCCCACTGGACTCAAGCGATCCTTCTGCATCAGCCTTCCAAGTAGCTGGAGCTACAGGCGTGTGCCACCAAGCCCGGCTAAATTTTTTTTTTTTAATTTTTATTGTTGAGATGAGGTCTCACCAAGTTGGCCAGGCTGGTCTGTAACCCTTGGACTCAGGCAATCCTCTCTCCTCCGCCTCCCAGAGTGCTGGGATTATAGACGGGACCCACCACTCCCAGCTTAGACTGTGTTTCAAATCCTTGGGAATTCTGGGATTGTTACCTCTCTGTGCATGTGGCATCACAAAAGTCAGTCTGGCATTTTTGCCAGCAGTTTGAAGTTAACGATGATCATTTTCAAACATAATTTTACAAAAGCTCTTCTCTTCTAAAACTCAGTTTGTTAAAAAAAGAAATCCTATTTTCTTAAAGTTCCTCAAGTACTGACAGACAATTTGGACAAGATGGGCACTGAACTTTGCTTTCTCAGGGAAGCCCCAGGAGAGGAACATTCTGAAAGCACGAGAATGAGACTCTTCAGGCAGTAATTGCTTTTCCCTGAAAACTTTGCACTTGATCCTGTACTGAAAAAACCAAGGTAAGCGTGCATATGTGATGCACAGAAGGTACTATGTGAATAAAAGAACATGGCGGTGCGTTGTACACGACTGTGCCGACTTCCCGACTCTTCTCTCTCCTCCCGGCCCCTGCAGCCCTAACCATGTCAACGCAGATCCGTCGGTCACCACCCAGTCGACTGCAATCCTCACTGCGGGACCGGACTAAGATGCCCCATTAAAGTTGTTGTTCTCCTGTGGAAGCACTCCCCCAAGGTGTTCCCTGGGAGAGAGGAAATACTTCGTAAGATCAGATAAAGCCAAGAATACTGGCATCACTCATGTCTATTTGAAAACTGTAGATTTTTACAAAAAAAATCTCCAGTCCAAAGTTAACCTATTGGAAACTGACCACTGAGAGTTGGCCCCCTGTCTAAAGGTTTAACTGTAAGTAAACAATCTAAAAAAAAAATTAAAGACCTTGTTTTTGATCAGACTGTTCAAAGAAAGTCGTTTGTGGGTGAAAGTTGACTAGGCTGAAATAACAGAAACCTTTGAGAGTGGAATATGGCCTTCACTCCTGAGGCAAGCGTTCTTGGTTCACCTTTGTTAGCCTTCTTCACAAGAGGACACAGACACAGCTTGGCTCACCTTTCAGAATATTTTGCAAGTTGATCTTTGATATTAGGAGAGCCATCTAGAAGGTTATATGTTAAGCAGGTAAGCACTTATCTAGAGCTAGGAAAACCAGGAACAAATTTCAGCAGGGCTGGGCTTCACCTGGCAGATAACCTCCTGAATCATCATCTTGATTAAAAAGCAAAAGGAGGCCCGGCTCAGTGGCTGAGCCTGTAATCCCAGGACTTCGGGAGGCTGAAGCAAGTGGATTGCCTGAGCCCGCGGGTTCGAGACCCACCCGGGCACCTTGGCAAGCCCTCGTCTCTACAACAAATCAAAAATCAGCTGGGCATGGTAGCGCGTGCCTATAGTTCCAGCTCCTTGGAAAGCTGAGACGGAAGGATTGCTGGAGCCCAGCAGGTCGAGGCTGCGGTGGCCGGGAACGGCCACTGCACTCCAGTCTGGGCAACGGAGTGAGACTCCAACTCAAAAAAAAAAAAAGCAAAAGGAAAAAAAGGGAACTTTCCTACACCCATGGCTGTGTATCTTTCTACAGATTACTATAAAAATCACCTGGAGGGGTCAGGTGCGATGGCTCACACCTATAATTCCAGCACTTTGGGAGGCCAAAGGGGATTGCCTGAGCCCACGGGTTTGAGACCAACCTGGGCAACTTGGTGAGACCTCATCTCTACAATAAGTCAAAAAATTAGCCAGACGTGGTGGCATGTGCCTATAGTTCCAGCTACTTGGAAGGCTGAAGTGGAAGGATCGCCTAAGCCCAGCAGGTGGAGGCTGCGGTGGCTGTGAGCATGCCACTGTACTCCAGCCTGGGGGACAAAGTGAGACTCCAACTCAAAAAAAAAATCACCCAGAGGCCAGGCACAGTGGCTTACGCCTGTAATCCCAGCACTTTGTGAGGCTGAGGCACTAGGATTACTTGAGCCCAGGAGTCTGAGACCAGCCTAAGCAACATGGTGAAACCTCAGCTTCACAAAAAATTTAAAAATTAGCCTGATGTGGTGGTGTGTGTCTGTGGTCCCAGTTACTCAAGAGGCTGAGGTGGAAGGATCTTCTGAACCCAGGGGGTTGAGACTGCAATGAGCCATGATTGTGTCACTGCACTCCAATCTGGGCAACAGAGTGAGACCCCGACTCAAAAAATAAAAATAAATACACCCCGAACTGAAAAAGAAAGATAGCCATTCTGATGCATTTTCCGATTTAAGCCTTAATTTTTCGTTTTAACTCTAAGAGATAGAAAATTGAATTTAGGCCAGACGCTGTGGCTCATGCCTATAATCCCAGAACTTTGGAAGGCGGAGGTGAGAGGATTACCTGAGCCCATGGGTTCAAAACCAGCCTGGGCAACTTGGAGAGACCTCATCTCTACAATAAATAAAATATTAGCTGGGTGTGATGGCATGTGCCTGTAGTTCCAGCTACTTGGAAGACTGAGGCAGAAGGATCACCTGAGCCCAGCAGGTTGAGGCTACAGTGGCCAGGAGCGTGCCACTGCCCTCCAGCCTGGGCAACAGAGTAAGACTCCAACTCAAAAGAAAATTGAACTTAATCCTTTATTAATGAACCTGTAAATTATGAGAGTCAAAATTAATTACTATTTCAAGGTTGTAAAGGTAATTACATGCTTGTGAGTTGGCCTGTGTGTTTCGGTTGGGACAGCCATATGTCCTAAATTATCTGGGAAGGTCCAGATTTCAATGTATTTATGTCACAGACTCTTTACTTCTCAGATCATGAAGTTCAGGATTTTTCAGCTGGGAAAATACGATTATTTTCGCTATAGCCTCATAAGCTCTGTTCATAATAATGATGACCAAAGGTGTTTTAGGCTGAGGAAAGGCTGTTCGAGAACAAATCGTCTCTTCCACCCCTTATGACATCTCACCAACATAGTGGCCGTCATACTCCCTCTATGATTGTAATGGGCATCAAAAGAACAGGGCTTATCATGATCGCTGGTAGAATTTGTCTGACTCTCTCCTTACTCTAGTGTAGATGGCAAAGAAAAGAGGGAGGGATTGGGCTATGTCCCTTCGGATTCGGCCCCTAGTAGTTGGAAATGGCGTGCTCTTCCCTGGTGTCCACTCCAAATGTGCCGTCAGCTCCGTTGTGGGTTCCCATTCCACTTAACGCAGGTCACTGCCCCAAGCTCCTGGACACACTTCTTTGTAGGATATTGTTCCCTGTGAGGGGTGTAGCGTGACAGTAAATGTGAGGCAGGGCACATTTCTCTTTACAATGTCATCCCTTTAGTCTCAACGCCTCCACCACACAAGTAATGTAGGCCTAGTAGACTTAGTGGATGGTTGAAGTGACTTAAGGAAATCATAGTGTGTGTGGGGGGACAATTAGCTGAACACAAAATTTCTTGTCATTGCACAACAGTGCATTTGGTAAGAAGAAGCTCTATTTAAGCTGCCTTCCTATAATAGAAGTCCCATCAAGACTTCCACTTGCCAGGTGCTGTGGCTTACGCCCATAATCCCAGCACTTTGGGAAGTGGAGGCGAGAGGATTGCCTGAGCCTAGGGTTCGAGACCAGCCTGGCAACTTGGTGAGACCTCCTCTCTACGATAAATCAAAAAATTAGTTGGGCATGGTGGTCACGCCTATAGCTTCAGCTACTTGGAAGACTGAAGCAGAAGGATTGCCTGAGCCCAGCAGGTTGAGGCTGTGGTGGCCACGAGTGTGCCACTGCACTCCAGCCTGGGTGACAGAGTGAGACTCCAACTCAAAAAAGAAAAAAAAAGGCTTCCACTTAAGCAGGGCACAGTGGCTCATGCCTATAATCCCAGCACTTTGGGAGACCAAGGCTGAGCCCAGGGGTTCCAGACCAGTCTGGACAACTTGGCAAGATTTCATCTCTACCATAAATCAAAAAAATTGGCTGGGCACAGTGGTGTGTGCCTGTAGTTTCCGCTACTTGGAAAGCTGAGGTGGAAGGATTACCTGAGCCCAGCAGGTCGAGGCTGCAGCAGCTGTGAGCATGCCACTACACTCCAGACTGGGTGTCAGTGAGACTGCAACTAAAAAAAAAAAAAGATTCCACTTAATCTCAATTATTCGAAACTTTGATTAATGGTTCATGGTCTTACTGCTTCAAGAGTGAAATTCATATTGCGATCTCAAATTTCTCATGTCACTATGGTTCCAGCCTCATGAACTCTCTCTCTCTCTCTTTTTTTAAGAGATGAGGTCTCCTGATGTTTTAACCTCCTGGGCTCAAGCAATCCTTTCACCTTGGCCTCCTAAAGTGCTGAGATTTCAGGCATGTGGTACTGTGTCCAGCCCATGGCCTAGTGAACACCTACCACAAAAGACTCTACAAGGAAGGCAGCAAACCACCATGATAAGAGGAAGACAGGGATTGGGGAACAAAATGAGATTAGTGATACTAATTGATCGAGTTATATATATTGTATTTTTTTTTATTATAGAGATGAGTTCTTGCCAAGATGCCCAGGCGGGTCTCGAACCTGCGGGCTCAGGCAAATCCACTCTCCTCAGCCTCCCAAAGCACGGGATTATAGGCTGAACCACCAAGCCGGGCTGTATATATATTGTTTTGTATACCCAAGTTTTAGTGTACCAGTAGTAGTTCTACTAAATGACCTTTCTGATTGTCCCAGAAAAGCTAACAAGACCTTACATCCTTCCCAGGAGGTTGCCTTTAAGGATAATCCAATTTATAATTTTTTTACCCTGCTGACAGACAGGTCTGACAGCCCTGAACTTCCTAACCTCTGTTGTGTAGCCGGCCACCTATTTTGGGGAAGCTCCAGTCATTACCCGCAGAGTTGATCTCATCCTAGGAACTGCGTCTTGCTTCTCCCAATGGTTCATTCTCCAGGTCTGAGTTATTCCCTCAAAAACCTGAAATAGGCCAGGTGTGATGCCTCATGCCTGGAATCCCAACACTTTGGCAGACCAAGGTGGGGGGAATGACTTGAGACCAGGAGTTCGAGACCAGCCTGGACAATAGAGTGAGACCTTGTCTTTACAAAAAAATCAGAAAAAGCAGCCAGGCGTGGTGGCGTGTACCTGTAGTTCCTGCTACTCAGGAGACTGAGGTGGGAGGATCACCTGAGCCCCAGAGATGAAGGCTGCAGTGAGCCTTGATCATGCCACTGTACTCCTTGATCATGCCATTGCACTGCCTGGGCAACAGAGTGAAACTCTGACTCCAAAAAAAAAGCCCTATATACTTCAGACACGCTTCCTGACCAGTCCTAGCCTTTGGTGGTCCAGCTCCACAGAACAGTGCAGGTGGGTACACGTATTCTCCAAGGGTGATCTCTGTTTAAGACTCTTCGCCTCTGTGAGTGACCAGTATGTTTCATTGTCCAGCCAGTAGCTGGTGGAACACACTGACCAGGTGCACATACACACAAACACATCTCTCAAGGGCAACTGTTAATTCACAGAGAATAGATAAAATCTAAACTAGAGGTCTCAAATGAGAGCCGCCTTGGGAGGGAATTCAGTCCATAGGCATGTTTGAGTAGCATGATGTTTGGTTGTTCTCGTTGCTGCTTTAAAATTATTATTGTTTTTAAAGCAGGATTTATTGAGAGGACAGAAAAGCTCCCACAGCGGAAAGGGGCCCGAAGGCGTTGCCCTATTTTCATTTTTATTTTTTGAGTAGGAGTCTCACTCTATCGCCCAGGCTGGAGTGCAATGGCAGTGTCAACCTGCTGGGCTCAGACAATTCTTTCACCTCAGCCTTCCAAGTAGCTGGATCCACAGGCACACACCACCACGCCCAGCTAATTTTTTGATTTATCGTAGAGATGAGATCTTGCCAAGTTGTCCAGGCTGGTCTCAAACCCCTGGGCTCAGACAGTCCTCTT